TCTGTCTCTCTCTGATAAAATTAAAATAAATCAATGAATAAATAAAATTAAATTAATTTTTAAAAAAAGAAAAAAGAAATATAAGCAGACCAGAACATACCCATTCTGCTAAGTCTAGGCAAGTCCAAAACACAGAGGCCCCAGAAAGAAGTGAGTATGCCTGATTCTCCCAATTTCATCAATCACAAAAAGAGGAGAAAATGTTGTTCCTATCCTTTTTCATTTCAAAGAGAAGAGTACAAATTTCCTCCCCAAACACATATATATTCAGCTTTTAAAAACAAAGCCTCCAAACTTAAAAGTATGCTGGAATTTAAATCACCAATAATTGATATTTGGTTATCAACCAACTTAAACTTGGGCCCTATCTACTTATTGTATAGAAATATAAGCAGACCAGGGGACCAGCAGGTGGCGTGGTGGTTATGGCACTGGACGACAATCCCACATGGCCAACCACGGTTCGAGTCCCAGATCTGGTGGCTTGCTATCTCACTTTCTCTCCCTTTCTCTTTCTCTGTCTCTCTCTGATAAAATTAAAATAAATCAATGAATAAATAAAATTAAATTAATTTTTAAAAAAAGAAAAAAGAAATATAAGCAGACCAGAACATACCCATTCTGCTAAGTCTAGGCAAGTCCAAAACACAGAGGCCCCAGAAAGAAGTGAGTATGCCTGATTCTCCCAATTTCATCAATCACAAAAAGAGGAGAAAATGTTGTTCCTATCCTTTTTCATTTCAAAGAGAAGAGTACAAATTTCCTCCCCAAACAAAAAAGTATTCTCTTCCTAAAGCAGGACATTATGCTAGATGCTGGGGTAAGGAATTATAAATACATGAATAGACTCTAGGCTGGAAATAAAGATTTTGCAGCATTTAAAATAATCATTACAGCTGTGGGAGAAAGAGAAAAATAGATTCTAAAGTAGGAGAATAGTACCAGGACAGAATGTCAGGGAGTGATTACACAAGCAGTAGGGGGAGGCAATACTTGTAAAAGAACCTTAGAAGAGAGGGAAGGGTGAGGTGAATAAGGTCAGTATTTCTCACTTATTCACCCACAGTTCTTTCCATCAAATGAAAAGTTCTCAAATCGTTTTCTCCCAGCAGATGACAACCATGTGAGCAACTTACTTCTGGGCACATTTACATTTTGACAAATTCCCCTAAACTCTGTTTAGAAGTAAATACTGCAGGGGCCAGCAGGTGGTATAGTGGTTAAGGGACTGGACTCTCAGATGGTCTACTGCAGTTCTAGTACTGGACCTGGTGGCTTGAAACTCATGCTGGGCATGTGTGCTGAAAATCCTGAGAGGAGAATAAAGGAGAAGGAATTGTGTCCTGGCCATCCCCAATGAGGGGTGAGTGCTTGCTTTCTGTGTGTGTGTGTGTGTGTGTGTGTGTGTGTGTGTGTGTGTCTCCAGCCACATGCAGGCTATAGCAAAAATCTAAAGTAAGAAAAAAAAAGTAAATATGTTTTGGGGAGGAGAGAAGGACTCATGAAGACAGGATACAAATAGAGAGTGAAATGTGTGTGTGTGTATGTATATATATATATATATATATATATATATATGTGTGTGTGTGTGTGTATATATATATATATATAACCATTTTGAAGGTTTTTTTTTTTTGAGAGGTCTTTGCTATAGTGCACGTGTGTTTGCCAGAGAGACAGAGTGAGACAAAAAGCGAGAGATCACCCCCCAGGAAGGATGGCCACACCGCAATCCCATCTCCATTCTCCTCTCCGGATCTTGGGTATGCACGCACATGTGTCTGGCACGAGTTTAAGCCACCAGGTCTGGGACTCAAACTGCAGTCAACTACATGGGAATTCAGTGACATAGCTATTACACCAACTGCTGGTCCCTTGAAGTATTCTTACAGTGACTAATGACAGCAGCATAAATTAGAGTGCCTTTGGGGTTACATAAAATTGCTGAAATACTTGCACAAACATCTTTATCTGCCACTCAGAAAGCACATCAAAAGGTAATTCCAAATAATGAAAGCACATCAGAAGGTGGGACTATCAGATGGCGTAATGGTTACATGGTTGATGGATGCCAACGTGGTCTACCTTGATGCCTGTCCTGGACCCTGGGGCTTAAAACTCACTGACCGCATATGTATGTGTTCTCAAAATTCCAGGAAGAGAATGGAGAAGGGATTGCAGTGTGGTCAACCCCTCTGGGGGGTGTTTTCACCTGCCCTATAGCAAAAATCTCTCAAATTAAAAAAAAAAAATTAATAAAGCACATTAGAAGGTAATTCCAAATTATGTTCAAAACAATCTGTTCAAAGGTATAATAAATCAAATTTATCTGAAAACTTTGAAAAAAAGGTACTGAAAAATTCCTGCTTCAACCTGTCCTGTCTAAACCCACTAACTCCCTCCCAGACAGTCACTGGTAAACCAAGAGACTCAAAATTTCATCCGTGTGGAGCGTTTCAACTAATATTTAATCACCAGAAAACCAGTTTTCTCTTTTCAAGAATGATGCGGAGATAAAAAAAAAGCTTCTTACTGGTTTCTATGGGATTTTTTTGGCTTATCAACATGACAAGTTGTTCCTTCAAATAAAACAAAACCTCTTGAGAATTAACTGGTTTTGTATAAATTCATATTGGTCGCTGTTGGGCCCTTGTATGTTCTAAGAGGTGTGGAAACTAGGCAGTGGTTGGCTTCAGAATTCAGTCTTCTCTGAAATCCTGGTTAAGCTCCTTAATCCTATAATCTTGACAACCAGTCTTTCTCAAAGAACGAGTCCCCTTACTAACATTTACTGCAAAGAGGATTCAAGTTCCAAATAAGAATCCTAAAAATCAAGGCAGTCAGAAAGAAGGGGTTCAAGCTCCAGAAACCAGGCAACCACTGGGAGGAAAACAGGATTAACAGCACCAAACCTCACAAGACAATGCTGAAGATTAAACAGATTTTAGGTGCAAAGCAAAGCGCCGGGAACAGCGCCTGGGTGCATATGCACTCAAACGTTAAACGTTAACCAGCACCGAGGAGGAGGAAAGGAGCTCGGGACGGTTGGCTAGCAGAGGCGGCCCGGCCTCGGGGGAGGGAAAGTGAACAGGAGAGGAGGAGGCCCAGCTCGTCTCCGACGCTGGAGGTGGCTGATTCTTTAGGAAGCGTCAGCGCGTTGTCAGGCAACCAGCTCTCAACAGCACCCGAGGCGGCGGTGGCGGCGACCGAAGTCGCCCGGAGTCTTTCCCCTGTAACCATGACACGGCCCACAGCCCGACAGCTGCTAGACCCCCACCCACAGAAACCGCCCCGTCATCCAGCACC